AACTAATGATTGTAAAGATTTTTCTAAATTTCTAAGATTTATAGTAGGGATCCTATTTTACACAGTAAGTGGAGGGACTCTCTCTCTCTCTCTCTCTCTCTCTCTCTCTCTCTCTCTCTCTGAATCATGTGTTTCATACTTGAATCTGTTGCTGGGTCCTGTGGGAAAACACACAAGTTTGATCTTATCAGACTTGCGTCCTTGATGCACGCTTGCACACATGGATCACAGATGCACATAAAAAAAGTTTCAATTCACAATATCATTCTATCTATTCTGCACTATATTTTTTCATCACTGTGATATTTTGTGCTGCCTAGTTAAAGCTAAAGAGAAGAAAGGGAAAAAAAGATGGAAGAAGAATGGAAAAAACAGTGAATTCATATCATTTATAAAATGACAAATATCAGGAACACTTGAATTTTGATAATAGTGTTTTGACTTCAGTTGGATGAGAGCATTCCCTTCTGTCTTTGGCAGGAATGCAAAACTTACCACAAAAACACGCAAGAAATGCCAAAAATGTCTCACAAAGACAAATTAGGTGCAAATCTAAGAGAAGATCACGGCTCATGAAAAACCAGACTAGATCTGTGGCAAACAGAACCACAGTACAGCTTTGTTAAAGGAAACTGAGCCGTCTATAACTGGGCCAGTCAAGTTCACGTTTTTCACAAAAATAATATTCAGAAAGTTGCAATTAGTCTAAAAATAGAACTGGACAAACAAACTTTGTGTCTACGCGTGTGTGTGTGCGTGCGCGTGTGCGCGCCTGCATTTGTTTAAATCTTATTTGCAGGTGCAGATGACATCAAGTGTATGAACTGGTCTTTGTAGCCAATGTTATCACACTACCCCAGTAACATTTCCTGGGCCAACCTGTCATGCCTGAAATCAGTGTCACCACACCCTGCACAGTATATCACTGTGTGTGTATGTGAATTTATTTGTGTGGGTGTATGTGTATGTCAACTGGCCTGTAACAATTCTGTCATTCATATGGCATCACACTTCATTAAAGACCTACTTATTGCTGAAATATAATTATGTGTGTGAGACTTTTTAAACGAGACGGACTGAGATGATTGATTGCCAGGAGTTACAATATATATATAAATGTATGTAGTGAGTGTGTATGTGTGCGTGTGTTTGTGTGTGTATAATTTTTCAGAGTTCACCCATGTGGGTAGTGTTTTTGTTAACACAAGGTCACACACACAAGGGCATCCAGTGACAGAATCAGCTCCACTTGTAAAATTCCTGCAGACATGTAAAGCTTGCCTGTGTGTTTCTGTACCTATATGTTCTGGAGAGTGTGTGTTCAACTTGTACTGGTGTTACTAACAGATCCCAGTCAGTGTCACCTAAAGCACTCCTGCTTCTTGACCACACACACACACACACACACACACACACACTCAGGCAACAATCTCTTATTGATTCAGCGCGGCTGGTTGCTTGCTTGTGAAGCTAATGGCATGTCAGGGTGCAGCCCTGGAAACATCGGTCAATGATCTCACTCGTGTAAGAATAGACCAGAGAGATTAAACACAAATGCACAACCAAGAACACAGAACAGCCGCGAGGGCACGGGTGATTTGAGAGGAGATGAAGAAGAGATGGCATCCTTCTCTTTATGACAGGTCAATTTAATGTGTAAATGTGGGGAAAAACTGTAAAGAAACTCAAAGCAGCATAAAGATAAAATATGGGGACACATTAAAAATGGTATGGATGGCAGGAAATACAAAATAACAAGAGCTCCCCATAGTGAAATACAATTCAGTACAACACGACACAATATTGGCTCAAATATTAACGTATAATTGAATCACAGACAAATTAACATCACATAGTTTAAAGTATTTACTGTGCAGGTGTTTTTTTTTTTTTTTTTTTTTTACAAAGGGAGAATGGCTGCTGAGGAGAGTGGAAACTGAACAAAGAAAATGTAACAGCCCATGAAAGCACTGTCGAAGTTATGTAAAAGCTTATGTATGTTCCATAAATGGTTAATTAGGAAAACCATAACCATGCATGATTTTTAAACTTAACAAGATATGGAAATATGTAAAAGCGTGCATAGCATTCACTTGGATGTGGTAAGGTATCAAGGCAAAACCAAAATAGCTGTCACCACAAACAATTTCAGCGGAAACACAGACTCACAGTTACATGTCAGGAACAGACCAATTTGCTGCTCTGTTATATAATGTAAAACTTCCACAAACGCATAACAGAGTACTCGAAACACAGCCACTTAGCCTGACACATAACGTGGAACATGCAAAGTTACAAAATGAAACGCAGAGAAAAGAAACATGTTTCGTAGCAGCTGCTCTCAAACTATGAAATGAAACTGCTGGTGGGTCTCCACACTGAGAGGAACACACGCATGTATACATATACGGCCTAGCAAACTTTTCCATCTGGTGTGCAGGAGGTAGACATATGAACTGTTTTGTTTGTCACTGTCACACTGTCAGTGTCTTTATTGCATCCACTTACTCTCTGACCCTCACACATTTGAGTTATGGAGAAACATTCCTGTGGCTAAGTGTCTGATACGGTGTAAGGTCTTGTTGTTCCTCTGGAATAAGTGATACAAGTTCCCAGTGGAAGCCCCATATTCTTATGACATATTCTTTTTTTTTTTATATATTTTTGACAAAATCAGAACAAAACAAAATCAGATATATTTATTTGGTTATTGCTCTGTTAATGTGTGCACTATAAACCAATGCAGCATAAACACATTTTCAAAACACTTCTAAGGCTCATTTGACACCGACAGCTACTTAGGTTTCAGGAAGATCAACCTGGATAGATACAGTACATCTCTCATCATCTCAAGTATTCCCAAGGTCATGCCAGTTACCAGTAACATAAAGGTGTCTTAATAAAAACAATAGGTTCCTTGTTTAGAATCCTGAAATTGCCTTTGAATCCCCAAAGAAAAGGTTTAAAAGCGTCTGAATTAAATTAGGCTCTGTTTCTCATTCACTTTCCAGCAGGCATCTTTTTTTTCTGACTCTTACCATATGACCCCAACACATTTCCATGTTGGTGTTTCCAGTTATAGCTGCAGTGTAATCGAGGCTACAGCAGGGATGACGGTGACGTATCTGAAATACCTACTTCATACCCTGGCGTTTTCCTTCCTACTCTAGGTGCCTCATTTCAGTGCCTTTGGCTGCACAAGTGAGATCATTGCTGCCCTCGGATCAGCTTTGATGTCTAGGTACTTGTTGATTTGTTGGACTATTTACAAAAGTGTGTCCATGGAAACTTACTGGGAAGATGTACTGCTGCCCTGGTCTTACTGAGACAAAAAGGGTGATGTGAAGTCATATCAAAATTTAGTTTTACACTTCAGCACTTGTTCAGAGGGGTTCATGAAACCATTTTTGCTACAGGTGTTAGTAAAATTTCAGACCTTCACATTTCACACAAAGGACCATGACACACGCTGTTGGCAAACCAAAACTAGTGCAGAGAGGAAAAGGACTAGCGTATGCGTAGCGATAACCTTGCGAGAATGGATTTTCTCAGAGACGACAGTCTAACTATTTGCTTGTGGCCAAACTACTGTGGTTTCGACCAGTCAGTGTCCTTTGAGGGAGAGGAACTACCAGCAGCGATGGCAAAGCGATTGTTTCGGTATTCGTGGAGTTATCTACCGTCATGCTAACTAGCTTTCAAAGCTCCAACTGCAGCTTGTTGTGTTGTGTTTCCTTTTCGGCGTTCTCCTACTACGTGATGAATGATGGTTCATCAAATCACATGCCAAGTGTTTTTTGAAAGCATCTGCCCTTTCCTAAACAGTTTTCAGTGAAGCTTTCCCAGATGGTTTTGTGGAACAAACCATCTGGGAATGGTGTGGATGGTTGTGGAACAAACCATCTGGCGCACCAAGTTAGAGTAGCCGTATCTGTACACTGATGTGTTACTAGCTACTGCAAGGCTGTCGGTTCAAATTTACTGAGGTGAAGGACATGAACCTCCCTGAGGAAGTGTCTTGAAGAGCTGCTCTGAAAGGAATGTGGGGCTGCTGATATTGACACATCTTCAGTTGCTGCAAAGTTTACTTAACCTTTAATTTGTGTTAACAAATGCATTTTTCCCTTCATATCATGCTCAATCAACCATTTGAGTTACATTCATTTGTCTCGCATGTTTAACTGTTTACTGTTGTTATTGAGGAAATTCACTCTTTTGATTGGTTAATATAAGTGTGCTGATCCTTCGCTGTTGTAAAATTGATTATTTCAGTTCATTTTGCATCAATAAAGTGCTGTCCTATTGCATCAGTATCATCTTGAACCATGCAGAGCAATTAAAAGCACTTCTGTTGACAGAAGAAAAATGATCTCAGTAAAATTGATATTAGGAGGAAGTGCTAATCCACTTCTGAGTACATTTCAGAGTGTGGATAGTTACAGGCATGTTCCTCAGATGACCTTTTGGGGAGCTCATGGCTCAAAGTGGCATTAAGAGTATCAAACACCAAGAGTATCAGATTGATACTGGGCTTTTTATACTAAAAGCAGCTGGCTTCAAAAGCACACATACACTGAAAGAGACCACAATTTTCGGCTCCAGCAACTCAAATTTCATAGTTTGACACAGCAACGGTAAGACTCTTTTGGATTCTGTCAAAGCTGATGACAGAAACCTCTCCATGTTGGGCTCTACGCTGAGAGCTCAGGTTTAGCCGTAATTCACCATTACCACAGTTTTTCTCGACCTCAGGAAGATCTAAAAATTTTACTGTGTGGACTTAGTGGTTTCGAACGGCTTCATAAATATCAGCAAACACTTTTGAAGAGCTTGTTTACTTTTACCCGCACGGTGTTGGCTAACAGTCACAATCTGTAATAAGCATGAATATTCATATATCAAAACCAGACATTTTTCAAAGTTGAAATGAAAAAATAAAATGCGGTTGTGTAATCATTACTCATACACTTTCTCTCTGCCTTCCTTGTCCCTCTTTCCAGGGCCTCCAGTGTTCCCAAACCACCTCCTGTGGCACCAAAGGTACTGTAACACAGCATGTCACTGAAATAAGAAAAAATTCTACACTGTGTGTACAGCATGTCTATTAATAGATACAAGAAAATCATAGAAGATTACTGTTTAACTGAGGAGAGGTACACCAGGTGAAAATGAGATTCTGCCTCGATATACAGAACATTCAGAAAAGTGTTCAGACCCAATTTTATGTTGCAGCCTTATGCTAAAATAAAAAAAAATGTCCCTCATCAATCCTCAATATCCCATAATGACAAAGTGAAAACAGAATTTTAGAAACTTTTGCAAATTTTATTAAAAGGGAAAAACTGAAATCTCACATTAGCAGAAGTATTCAGACCCTTTGCTATGACACTTGAAATTTAAGGCCTCAGAGCTAACAATGCATATCAGAGCGAAAACAACCAATCACTTCCTAGAGCCAGCTGCCCAGCCAAACTGAGCAATCAGTAAGAGAGTTGATCAAGAATCCGATGGTCACTGTGGCTGAGCTCCAGAGATCCTGTGTGGAGATGGGAGAAACTTCCAGAAGAACAACCAGTTCTACTAAAAACACTAGAATTGGGACCAAACAGTTCAATCTCAGTCTCAGACCGGACAATCTTGTTTCCCACAGTCTGAAAGTCTTTTAGGTGCTTTTTTGCTGGATGGTGACCATCGGGTTCTTGGTCACCATCATCGTCACCATCACCAACATCTCTAGGATGAATAAGAGAAATGGGAGGCACCTGAGCTAAAGTTCAAGTGTCACAGCAAAGGGTCTGAATACTTTTGTCTATGTGATATTTCAGTTTTTCCTTTTAAATAAATAATGTGTTTGTTGTTTTCACTTGTGTCATTTTGGTGTATTGAGTATAGATTGATGAGGGAAAAAAGTTTTTATTTTTATTTTAGCATAATGCTGCAACATAACAAAATGAAAGGGCTGAACACTTTCTGAATGAACTGTATATATTTTAAGATATTATATGTTAAATCTATACTTTATATAGCTTATTGTGACAAATTGTCATACTAAGGTCACTTCATTATTCCAAAATAATTTATTTTTATTGCCTTGAATGTAGATTTTATTTTCCTGTAGATATAAGTTTCCCTTGGTAATCAACCATCTACTTTATGAAGTAACTATGGAACAGGAAATAGATACTCATCATATGAAAGCAATTGAATTATTGAAAAATTCAATATGTCAGCATAAAAACAAAAAAAGTAATTCACCTTGGGTATGTTCTAAGTCCTTTGAATACTTTTCTTTAGTTACTACACCCTTCTGAAACGGTGCCATACACACTTTTTGTTGCATGAAAAACACCTTTGTCTTGATTTGTTATGTTTTTTCTGTCTTTGCTACATTTGTGTTTTGTTGTAAATGAAGGTTATACTGATGCGTCTCTTGTCAAAGAAATTCAGGAACTAAATTGTAAAATTTACAGGGACTCAACATGTTTGGATTTTTTCCAGCTATTTTTAAATGAAATCAGACTTTATCATTTGGACAAACACATCCATAAATCATAACCTGGGAGGCATCAGTATAGTGTGTGCTGTGATGTGATTTATTTTTGTGTGTATGTGCATGCTCTTCTCTCATGCCGGTAGGACGACAGATCAGACATCATAAAACCAGTGGCTCTCACCCACCCCCCTCCTCCACCCTATCCCCACCCTCAGTCCTCCAGTCCCTCCTCCGCCCCCTACAATAAAGCCCCCAGACCTTACGGGGGCTGCGGATCAGAGAGCGACTACACTCCATCACAATCACCATTTACTGCTTTCATCCCATCCCCATCCTCTGCCTTCACTCCTGCGTCCTCCCACACCAGTCCTCCTCCTCCTCCACCTCCTGTCTCTTACCCATCCTCTTCCTCCTCCTCCTCCCCTGGCCTCGTTCCACCTCAGCCATCAGTGTATAACACACCAATCAACCTATACTCCACTGAGAACGCCTGTGAGGTGGCCATGGGGCAGAGGCGGGGCCTATTGGAGAGTCAGGGTGGAGCCTTGCCACTGCAGTTTAATGGGTGAGTGGCGGTCTCTACAGCCTATCAACTGAATCAATTCTTGGTTCCTATCTCCAAATGTCTTTGTCTCGGTGTTCAAGCTGTCAAATGGGATGTAGGATCATTGACATGTCAAACATCTACTTTATCATTTTACTGTCTGTTACTGATTCCCTCACAGATTCATGCAGTTTTAGAAATGGTAAAAGGCATTTTGAAATATCAGTAGCCACACCATTTGTTTGTGAGAAACAGAAGATGAAAATTTATGACACCAGTGTTAAGTTTTGAAGTCTGCACTTAGTTAGACAAGTATTTTGTTACAAAAAAATCCACTTCTGTAATGATTTACAAACATGGTGTTTTGCCAGGCCTATTTCAAAGTTTATGTTCCTGACTGAAAATTGTTTATTCCACACAGGCCCTCATCCGGCTTTCCAGACTCCAACTTAAAATTTTGAAATCTTGGCAGTGATTTTCAAAGTTCTTCCACATCATTAAATCAGGCTCAAATGTCTGTTGGTGTTTTGTTCTGAGAAAAACATTAAAAAACTAGAATGGCACTCAGTAGAGCGCATACCTCCGCCAAGGCCAAACAATCCTACATGACTTTTGTTGTCAAGTATAGCTTTATTTATTTATTGTCTTTAATCCTTGTGCAAGACAGCTGCATGGTTTTATTACCTGTTGTGTGAAATGATGACATCAGCCTTATTCAATTCATACAGCTCTACAGCTGTATTCAACATTGCTATGTTGAATGAAATACTGCATTCCTAAATGCTGCTGGTGCCATATGCACTGTTACTTACTATTAATAACAAGTGCAACTCTGTGCATAATGTGGATTCAGAATTTTCTTCCACCAGATCTGGATTATTATCTGGATCTGTACCAAACTGTATGAACTAATAAATCTCAACACCATAAATATGTCTGATGTTCTACATCAAGATCCATACATTTCATCTAAATAAAAATGCCCTATCTCACAATGTTAAGGAAAGTGACAAAAAAAATTCCTGGGTAAGCCCCAAATCGGCACCTAAATTGAATTCCGTTTTCCCTGGCCCATGTCCCGTCCCTCCACCAAGTTTGGTGAAAATTAGTTCAGTACTTTTCGCCTAATTCTGTCGACAAACAAACAATCAAATAAATCAAACAAATCAATCAACAAACAGACATGAAAACGAAACCTTCTTGGTGGAGTTACCAAAGCAAAATACTATACTCCAAACACAATATTGAGATCGATGGTTTTAGTTAAGAAGCCAGGCCTGACTATGTTGCCTCAGTTTGTGAATCTTTTTTATTATAGTGTTGAAATGTGACAGTCTCAGCTTGGCACTGTGCTGCTGGTTTGGTTTGACATTTTTAAAAAATATGTAGCCAGAGTCTCAGTTATTTGTGTAATGTGTCATGTTAGATAACTTAAACTACCAGTGTGGAAACACTGATATGTAAGCAAATTAAAATGGGTTATTTGTGTACTGGAGCAACTTTGGACTGAAGTTCCGTACTGAAAGACATGTGATATCTGTTTTCATGTGATGGAAAACATCAGAACTGATGGACTCTAAATGAGCTTTTGGAGTCCTCTTAAAATAATGCAAAAAACGGCTGTAAAACATAACCATGAGTTGTTTGTGGTTAAAATCTTGAAAGTGAGGAATTTAACACAGTTAATGTTCAACTTTAAGATGGATGTAGACCTAAAACTCATAAGTAATATGTATGGACAAATAAAATATCCCTAGCGTGGTGGTTATATGGTGAAGCTATTGAAATGCACTCTCTCTCCCGTTTACTTGTGGTTGTTCTTTCTATTTCTTTGCTTTCATTTTATCCTGAATCATTCATGATATTTTATGAAGACACATCTTTGCTCTTCTAAGGGAAAGTGGAGATCTCCACTGTGATTCTATATTTTGAATTGTGGTTGAGTGTCTGAGGACAGCCCCACATTTCAACTATATTACTCGTCACCAGCATTTGAAGAGAACCCTCATTGAGTGAATTACTATTATGTTCACCCTCTTTGCCTCCATCTCTCCTCCTTTTCTTTCTATATATCTATTCATACATCACATTCAATTTTCCCCCGCCACACTTCACATCCAAGCTGCCTGTTCCTGTCTCTCTCAACATAATTCCCAGCATCACCCCTCCACCCCCCACCTCTGTTTTTGTCACAACCCCACCTCCTCTCTTTCCAGAGGCATAGTGAGTATAACTATGCAATGATGCTATGACTAAGCTGTGTATATATAGCCTGCATTGGTAACTCAAGCTGTGTGGTAGTCTCTCTGCTCTTCTCGAAAATCAGTCAGTCAGTAAAGGATTCAGCCTTGAATCCATGTAGATTTACAAATTCACTGGTGCCCTTCACAGACTAGCACACCGTCATCAAGCCATTTTTCTCCACTTTTTCATTCATTCTTTTAGTGATTTATCCTAAAACTACCGGGTATATGTGGATGTTTTTAAAATGCCAAATGGACTGAATATACTCCTTTTCTGACTCATAATTTCTCTCGTCATTTCATTTCATGTTTTCACTCTCTCTTTTATTCATTCCTCTGGGGAACACACCAACAAAAGGATCAGTGGTTTCTCTTTCTGTGAGACTTAGCGGTCACCAGCGATCTGCACAATATAATCTTACACCATGCAGTCATTCACACACGCACAAACACTCGAGCTGAATTTCAGTTGGGTACATAGTCTTCTCCAAGTATCACAGATGACATTTATCAACACACTTTATTAAAGCTTGATCTTCCTCTTTGTCTTTTGCTTCTTTTCACATCAACATTTCTATATGAATGTTTTGGTTAGCTTTTTTCATCCTCATTTTATTCCAAATGATAGACAGTTCAAATATTACAATAGTTATTTTGGTCATCCACAGTAGAGGTAAGCATACAGATGCACTGTCACTGATGATCAATATATACAGTAGTAATGGATATGATTCTGTAAATTGCAGTGGCTCTTTTTGAGAAAGCACTTTCGGGACGCGTGGTACAGAATTATTCTCTCTCTCTGTATACTTATCAACAGGTGTTTCTTCCAGCATTAGTGAATCTCTATTTTGTTCTGATGCTGAGATGCATACAGACTGATACTATGAGACAGCACGTGTCCATCCTTGCGTCTTGCTTGCTTGTTTGCATGTTGTAAATGTGCTGTGTGGTTCGTTTCAGAGGGGATTTTTGAATACAATGGTGAGATTTGGGACATATGGATGTCAGTTTTCCCTGTCTTTCTCTCTTCCTTTCAAACTTTGTTTTTCTGCTTTGCAGACTGCAGCACATCCTCCAGTCACAAAGTTAGTGTCTGAAGCATGTCAAATTACGCCTGTTCTCCTTTTTACCTCTCTGTGTGCTTCTTTGTGTGAATACTGTGTCATGACATTTGCATGCATTTGCTTATTAGTTTACTACAGAAATAGCTTTTGTGTATGAAACATTTCATATTTTGGCACATTACATGAGGGTTTCCCACTCAGGTATTAAAGCCAGTTGTAAGTGGTAACACACATGCATTCAACTAATTAAAATGAACCCAACCTTTGCATGTGATTCAATATGCTGAGGCGACAGTATATTTTTACCTCAGCCATAAATCACAAACACTGATATTGTACAAACACATTATAGACACACACACACACACACACACACACACAGACACACACAGACTACATTGTGTGAGACACTTCCAGTAACTAACTGTACTGTAACTGTAAGTGTGTGAGCAGGCTCACATAGAGCTGTCAACACTCCCACACCGACATAGCTGCTGCTGTGACAAGAATGTGTTGAGAGAGACTCATAAATCACTCCATTCAATGTGCTAGGTGAGTGTATTGGTGGGTGTGTTTATTTATAGGTGATTTATTGACAGCAGTGCCAGGAAAGTCATCAATGCTCTTGTGTGTGTATGTATGTGTATGTTTATGTGTATGTGTATGTGTATGTGTATGTGTATGTGTATTGGAGTTGATTTATTGACAGCCAATTAATAACAGCCCTGTCAGCACCCTGTTGCCAAGAAAGGTTGTGGCTACACACGCATATTACTCCTCATGAATTCACGCAAACACAAGCCACACATGTTGTATCATAACTATGCTACACACTCATCAAAACAAAAGTGCGTGTTTCAGCGTCATTTGAATAAAAACATAAAAGTGTCCAGATGATGAATGACTCCACCTCTATGGAATTACAGATGAGTCAACAGCACCACCATGTGGTTGAAAATAGAACTGATCTTTTCTTTTGATAATTTACCTTTCATCTTATCGATGCAATTAAATATCTCTGTGGATATTTTGGCTCAGTGTTATGCATGCACTAGTAGTTGTGGTCCATAAGTTCATGTTTTCTATTTACCTCCATTGATTTTCTACTTATCTTTAATTCTTAACATTTCTTTTGATTCATTCTTTACAAGTTAATCAATTCTTCACTTTTCTGCCTCTTCTCTGTCTGTCTTGTCTTACTTTACCTTCCCCTTAGTGGACCTCAAAGTATTTTGAAGTAAGTCTTTTCACATGATTCTGTTGTGTCCTTATGATTGTTATGAATATTGCTGTTTCGTTTTCCACTGGCTTTATTTTGTCTGTGTCTGTTTTCTTCTGCCCTGTCTTTCTCTGCCATTGGTTTTCAAGAAAACCCCAGCCACCAAGGTATCACATTGGTAGATCTAGACACCAAAAACATTTAACAGAGTGTGGTATGATTTTTTTCCCCCCTTGTTCTTGTTTAATAAGCACAAATTCTATTATTATTTCCCCCTCTATATTATTTTTTGTGTGTCACCTTGCCATCTCATAACCTAACCTGTAATCATCTAACAATTTAATCAAATTCCTCCGACTGAAGAAACAATAATGTCAATACCTATACTGTAAATGAATTTAAACTTTCCGATTGAAATTAACATCCTGAAAGAAAACTTTACATGGCTTTGGCTCATAACACACTGCGGTGGACAGAGCCACTTATGACCTGCTTATAGTACAAAGTTTGGAGTACTAAGGAGTATGAAATGTTTTATAGCTTCCTGCCGAATTAAAAGTTATACATTTCACTTTAATAGCTTATAATACCCCAGAGGAAATGACATCAGTCTTCATCTCTGTTGCTTTGATAGATATATGAGAGGCAGTATGTAAAATTAAAAGCATATTTTCTGATCTCATCCATCCTGTTCTGCCCTGTTCTCCCAGAGTTCCCAGGAAACACGTTGTGGACACAGACATCCATTTTTACCATGTGCCCACTCATGCTGATGCCAGCAGGAAGCGCATAACGGAGGACACAGAGGACTGGCGCCCCCGCACTGGCACCACCCAGTCCAGATCATTCAAGATTCTGGCTCAGATCACTGGCACCGAGCACGGTACATTACTGACTGACTGAAGTGCATGCAGAGTCATTACCTGAACCTCATCATTACCTGTTGTTGTTAGTGCACCTGAGCTAGTGATCACACACCTGAATACAGTGGATCCTGCATACATAGGGCACACCAACATATCTAAATCATCATGCTAATATAATTTATTTCTAAATCAAACAGCATTTTTGTAGAAGATAAAGACGGCAACATTTTTTAGAGTGCACTCATTAATGTTTCCATTCTTTCCCTTGTAGCTCAAGATGAGGAAGCTGACAAAGCCAAGAAGACAAAGTAAGTGCTTGGCAAAGAAAATGCTGACGCATTGAAGCTTGTGGTTTTAATAACTCTAGTCTCCGTTTTTCTTGTTGTTGTGGTTTGTATGACTAATTGTGTTGTTGGAGTAACAATACATATTCCAGAAAATCTCATCTTTTCAGTTGATTTTCAAACTCTTCTTTCATTTAACCTGCTCAGCTGGGTGTCTCTAACGTAAACAGTAACATCTACATTTATGCAGTAGCAGAAAATCTGACTCTAAATCTCAGTTGCACTGTTCTGGCAAATGTATTGATGCTGTGTGGGCTCTTCCTGTCTAGACGGCAGAGGGAGGATCACATTTGATCCATTAAGTCAAAAGCCAGACCAATGTGTGCTGTACAGTATGTCGATTCTCAGTAGCTTCAAAAGATCAGAAAGCAATTTTGATTAAATTCCTCTCAGATTGCTGAAGGTTGATTTTAAATAGCATCATGCCAGGCTCTGAAAGTGCATCCATCTGTGCTCATCGATCAAAGCATAGCCATATGTGATGGTTTGTGTGCTGCCCGTGGTTGTTTGTGCATTTGGTCGTTGGATGTGACAGCATTGCAGTGTTGCATGTTGTTTAACCTGTGGTTGCGTTGTTGACAATCATGGCTTTACTGTGGTCTCGTTCTCAGTGTGATGTGATCCATTGGCTGTCCATTTCTCTGGGTGGTTTGTGGCGGTACATGTGTTAACCGTGTGTCTGTGACTGCTCATGTGAACATGCAGACATTCCCGCTGACTGTGGGTGTTGTTGTGAAGCGTTGTGGTTAAATTGATTCATAACTTGAGTCCATACTGACCACGATTCATGGGCAGAGTGTTGACAAAATGAAGATGGACTCTTTGGACACTGGAAATGACAAGTGAACTGTTTTCTGGATAATCCTTACAGCTCACTTTTGTTCTTTCTTTCCATTGATTTCTGTCATTTTATATTCTGATGATGACAGCAATACTGCCCATAACCGCTACATCTGTATGTTTCCTGTGTATCATCAGCTTTTTGTTTGTGGTAACAGCTGCTTCTGTATCATCAAGCTTTCCTTGTGGCTCAGCTTTCAGTGTGTCTCATCACACATCGCAGGGCAGCTACGTTTCCTAAATCCTTCTTTTCTCTCTCCTTTGGTGTGTTTTTCTCTTCTTTCTATCTCCTCTTACTCTTGTGACGTGGATGGCAGAGTGAACAAGACCACCACTCGGATGGTGATTGGCCCTAAGTACAACGAGCTGAGAGACTGGCACCACGGGGTGTCTGCTCGCGCCCTCAATGTCCAGTAGACTGTGTGTGTCTCTGTATGCGTCTGTCTACCTGTGTATGTGTACACTATATCAGTTTGACTGCTATTGATTGTTGTTAATTCATTGGACTGTTGCAGGGATACAAGCTTGTGGACTAATGGGAATATAGGAAGTAAAAGAAGGAATAGTGCAATTGGAGCTTGTAAAGGAATTGTTAGAGAGTGTGTGTGTGTGTGTCACTGTCACGTCATGTGCCTGCATTGTGCTGGCTTCATTCAGACCTTTATTTAAGCGTTGCTTATGTGATGGGCCCACTCCACTGATTCCAACCCTAAACATGTAGATGCCTAAATACACACTTTTATGTGTGTGGCTACTTTCACCTCATTATACTTACATTTCGAGTTTGAGTAAAGTGCATGTGTATGCCACTTTTTGTGTATACTTGATAACATGTCAGTGATTTTAATGATAAGATACTATATTCATACTAATAATCACCATGATGGTGATGGGAGACAAGAATTACAGAGTTTTCAAATAAGAGCCTAAATTCATGACGGCTTTAATGAAGTCTGATATGATGTCTGAACATGCTCAGTCAGATATACAGCTGTCAATCCACATCTATGCCCCACTCAGTCTTCACTACAGTACCTATACACATGTAATGGGAAAAGGAAGACAGCAGCCGAGTCGCCCTACTGAAAGTTGCATTGACGACATGTTATGAATCATTCAGTTTGCGTTCATTTTGACACATAGAACATGAAAATGATAGATGGAAATTCATATTTATAGATAGACAAAACATACACCATATCTTTAAGGTCTGCGTTCAGTAAATCAGATAGAGAAATGCATAAAAAAGGACTTCACAAATGCACCACATACAGTAACTACAGTGTTGTCTGCCCCTCATTGTCCTCAGTACCACTGTAATGTAGATATGACATAAGGGGGAGGAGTGTGATTTGGAGGAAGGAGTTTATTTCTGACATCACTGACAATAGCAATAGAGTGCATTAGACAGACAGTTATGTATGTTCCTTTATGTTAATTGGACTGTTGAATAAATGTATGTTACAGAGGACACTTGTTTAAAAGCTTTAATGGCTTGTTTACATCTGTTATATTTGCTAGCACTGGAACTAACACAGTATCTTGAAATTACTGGGGGAAAAAAAATCCATGTCTGAAAAAGTGGAAGAGATTTCAACTTGTCATGCATGTATGTACAGTATATATAAAGCAGTGGCTTATATGCTATGCTGCTGGGATGTAACACTCCAACTTGGTATGGTATAAGGTTTATGCAAGTAAGGAAGGCTCTTTTTGGTAAGCAGTTTGTTGAGCTTTGATGGTTTGCAGAGCAACTGTATAAATGCGATGAATGACTTGTAATGCAGAGAAATGATTTGACGCCCTTACTGTGTAAAATATTTCTCCAGTGCCTTAACATTTATTTGATCCCCATGTTTACTTCATGCAGATTTTGCGAACTTCAATGAGTTTCTTCTTTGTAGAGTCTAACAGTGTTGCATTTTAAAACATCTGGAACTCTAGAGGCTGACATTTCTTTTCTGTGTTTTGAGTTTGAAAAAGCATTCTGTATTGTAGCGAATAAAATGATTAAGTTTTTTTCTTGTTTCCTTTTCTCTTTTTTCTGGTCTCCCCTTCCTTGATTCTTTCCTTCCTTTCTCCCCTACGTCCTTAGTTCCTTCACTCTTTCCTCTTCCAGTTATCTCACTGACTCTGAGACAAACAGTGGGAAGGTCAGGTATAAATCATCACCTAAGCCTGTGACACTTTTTTCCCCCCTCTTCACCTGTCACTTTGAATTGTCTCTTGGACACAGTAGTAGTCACTTTTAAAGAAAACAATCACATAAAGCCCTTTCGTTTAATCACAGGAACTAACTGACCTTTTCTGACCTATAATGCTGATTTCACATTTCAAGTGCATTTAATGATATTTTTCACACTTCCTGTGACTCAACTAAAACCAACTCAAACTTCAAAATACATAAAAAATTAAACATTGTGAACACAATAACATTGTTCTCTGCTATCTGATATTTGCCAGTGACAGGTCTCCAGCACGCCAAGCAGGTGGTTCACTCACAACGTGCAGCGCCCTGAGTGATACAGAGACCACTCCCACATCTCACACTGACCAACCACAGCTACAGGCGACAGGCTCATCAGCCAATCAGCAGTGGCAAGAGAAGGATGCTATAATCCAACATGATGTCCTTATTTCCAAACCTGACGGCCTCTTAAAAACCCAAAATCAAGACAACAACATATCATCTGCGTCACACCTTCGTCTAGTTGCCATCCCATTATCGTATTCAAGCTCTGTTGACACGTTTCGTCAAATACACCCAAACCATTTGTCTAATATGAACTATTCATTAGCGCCAATGCTGGTACCTTTAACATGCAATGGCTCAGCTCTAAACCAAATGTCATCATCTCATGCCCATCATTACACCTTTTCAGATGCCCAAAAGTCAAATGACACTTCCCTTGATGCTGTGTTTTTGCCAGATAGCATGCCCCATTCTTTTCTTGGGCCAAATCCTGTTTGTAGCCATACTCCAGCATCGTGTCTGCCTGTTTTTAGTTTATTGCCTGCCCAAACAGTAGGAGTATATTCCTCATGTGGTAGCAGTACTTTACCAGCACAAAACCAAGCACCAGGGGCCTCTTCTGACCCAGTCCGTGTCTGTAGACCATGTACCTCAGATGTTACTCTTTCAGCTCAACCAAGCTTCCAACTGCTCCCTGCTGAAAGGTAAATAGCGTGTCATGAAAGCTCACAGTATTACCTTAAAATACATAAAAGGTTTAATACTAGAAAAGGCTTTGATTGAAATCAGAATGATCACTGTCTTTATTTTAAATATTTTTTGCCTTGGTCTAGCAGTTCCCAGGTGACACCACTAGAGGGCAGCACAGATTTGGAAAAGTTTGAGTCCATGAACTGTTTGACTGGCCATGATGATGACAACCATAAATTAGATAATCCTGCTGCTGCATGTCTGAGGGCAGCGCAAAGTCAGTTTCAACTTTCACCTCAACACAGGTGATGCACCACATTTCTAATATTTGATGCACATGAAAACTTTTCCGTGACTGATCATTTACTTTAATTGTTTAAACATTCTCTCCAGTCTGTGCAGTTTTTCCTCTCTTTTGTCTTCTCAGTTTCCCAGTCCAAGTCAATACCCATTTATCTCATATATCAGCACATCATCATGCGCTCTACTCTACCAAACCAGTCAGTAACAAGGTTATAATGATTTTCAAATTAGTTCATCTTCCTTTCACTATTAATAGGAACAATGCGAAGCTGCCATACTTTGCTGTGTTTGTTTTTTTTTTTCAATATTTTCTATGGAGACATTTAATATCACAAACCATCTGGTGCTGTCTTCTGCCATTGTCTTACTGTATGTGGGCCTCTACACGTGTGTGTGTGTGTGTGTGTGCGTGCGTGCGTGCGTGCGTGCGTGCGTGCGTGCGTGCGTGCGTGCGTGCGTGCGTGCGTGTGTGTGCTTCCCTTTGGTGTTGTCAGAATGAACCACCTTTGCCAGGTCATGGTGGCCAAGTGGTAAGACATTGGAGTAACAGATCAATTCAGGACTTATTTGGGTTTTTATCTCATGCGACTAGTTGTAGTTGAACTGGGTTGTGAAGTCCCACGCCCAGTGGAAACACACAAAAGCTGTGAGGGTTGCTGGTCAGATAGCTAAGGGAGTTAGAGGACTGTTTGATTGGCTGGACTGGACTGGGCAGCAACAGTGGGGCCAGCCCTATAAACACAAATGTCCGTGACTGACTGACTGGCTGACAGCTAGATTTGAGTGATGAAGTTACACCATTGGTCAGCCAAATGCTGATTGATGTAATTACAAGTAAATATAGCCGAAATGACAGCAGAGTCTTTGTCTTTATTTTACGTGTAGTAGGATTTTATCAGACGACACAAAACTCTGTGTGAGCAGCAGCTTTGAAATGGCTTGCAGGTGACTGCTGGTTAACATGTAGTTTTAATGGGCTGCATATCAGTCACTATTTCATACTTGTTCTTTTGTCTGACAACAGTAACACATTTAAAGGAGAACAGCTTTAATGGGAATTCAGCTGCATTGAAATACTGTTTATGTGAGCACAGAGAATAGGAGAGAAGCAAATGGATAAAGGGCTCAAACTGGTTGACACTAGGCAGAAAGCAAATAGTGTATGACACAGTCCAGCCATATATTATATTTTGACCTAGTCTTGTTATAATACTCGTCCTGAACTATGTGTACACGCCACCTTCTGCCGATGCTTGGCTCAGCTTGTTGTTTGTGTATTCAGTCTTTGATGTGAAATATGTGTTGTATGGCTCAAAATATATTTTTATGTTTTGAAATTCACTCTCACTCTCTGTCTCTTTGTAGAGCAAGTGAAAATCCCTAATACGGAATTGTCCATGTAACAAAAACCTCTGTGTGTGTATTTGTAAACAGGAGAGAGCTCCTGTCAAGTCCTCTAGACTTCTTGCCCAGAGCGGCCCCCTCACCCCCTCCCCTCACCCATAGTGCACTCAAACAGCCCATGCGACAGACACACACTAAGTGCCGTAGTCCAGTGCAGTCAAGGTAAATGGAGTGAACCCTATCATTTAGCTATTTCAGTGTGCTCTGACCTCTTCCTTCAGACTTTTAAGTGACTACTCCTGAAATCCTATTCTCTTTTTTTTCTGTGTCCTTTTTATAATGTCTCACAATTTTCCTCCTGGAATCATCTTCTGCCTTTTCTGTTCAGAACAACTTATCCGAACAATCCTAGGCCTCCTGAGAAAGCAGCATCTCAGTCCTTATTGGACGCCCTGCTTATCACTCCAGTCATTCAAGCTTTGCCTCTTTGCCTGAAGAAAAAGAAGAAGCGTCGTAGCGTCAGTGAGCTGCACCTGCCCAAGAACAAGAGGTAGACCGGGCAGAGCTGGACAAAACATGCTTTTACTGAAAATGGTCTTGATTGCTTGAAAATTTTTGTTTTACACTATTTCAAGTTGAAGGCATTGGTTAAAAAAAAAAACAGTATTCAACTCAAGCATTGATCTTGATTATTGTTATTTTTTTCATATCTTTTAAAAATTTTAAACACAGTTTTGTCCAGGTCTGGATCCAGCAAAGAGTGATATCATCATGCAGTTTAATGAGATATAATATCTGCGGGCTCTTTCACTGTACATATCAATGTTTTGTGATGCATGCAGCTTCTCAGTCATAATGATCATCAACTAAATCCCTGATAGCATAAGCAAATAAGCAAACCTACACAGAAGACAACTTTAGGATCGAAAAATGTGTTTCATTTGTTGTACACATGGGCCATAGAGGAGGGGCAGGTTGTTTATTCTTCGTAAAATCGTAAAATTATTTTGGTAGTCCAGTTAATATTTTCTAAAAAATGTTAGAAGTAAAAACATTTTTAATCCACAGTGTAAACAAGGCCCTTGTGTCCACTGAACATGCCAGTTAAAAAGCCATGTTTGTTCAGACCATGCCAGCACCAAAAGACACGGTCCATATGTCTGTGTCGTTACAACTCATACCAACTATGACATTCTGTGGTCACTGTGAAACAGCTTGGCAGCATCTCACAGAGATCCGTCATTGGCTAGTGGACACAACCGTACACATTTAAACCATGAAGTATGAAAAGCGTGTGTGCGTGTGTGAGAGACTGAGTATGAGTAGGCGACTGTATGGATGGGTGTCCTTGTCATTACGTGTGAGTGAATGCACATGCATGGATGGTATAGTGCGTGACGATTGAATTTGATCCAAAAAATATCACAGTGCTAAATTATAGACCATCTGTTGTGTGGTGGAGAAAGCTGCTGGACAGCAGTCAGCTATGTTAATGGACCATTTGTTCTATGTTCAAACGAAACTAACACAGTTATGAGATGCATAACACAAGTTCTTGTTGAAGCTACAGTACACATGGGGTTACTTTACATGTGTAAACAGTTGGGCGACTGAGATTTTGAGGTTTTTCCTCATTATCGCTTAATACCAGCAAACAAGAAGTCTCATTATTAGGCAGCCTACAGTGCTGAAAATAGACCGTGAAAAAGATAAGTCAAACACAGAGACAGCAACAGAGATGCCAAGCAAGGCCACTGACTGCGTAGGGATGCAGTACGTAAGAGGAAAATTCAAGGATGCACTTAATGTAAAAATGTGAAAGAGAGAATACAAAGACAGAACAGGAGAGAGCGACAGATAAAAAGAAAATAAATGTATTCCTTTCTCCCTCCTTCCTCCAGTCCCTCTTTAATTATCCCTCCAGTTAACAAGGTTTATATGTGGCCCAGTATGTCCAGATGGTCAGCACTCTAACTGGCTACTATTGAATCAAAACAGCGGGACTCACCATTTATCAACCAATCACAGTCTTGCAGAATACAATTAAGTTGCTGTGTAATTGGCCTGATTGGTGGAGAATATTAACGAGCCGCACTGTAATTGCCTCTAATGAATGAAGGACTGGGGACCATCTTATTTCCTGCTCTATTTGTCACCTGTTGTTAGCCAGTTACAATAGTTAATGTGAATGAATGTTCTTAGCTTGTTTGCAAGGATAATTTGAATAGATGGCGCTATAGCCTTTAGTCTCACAGAGTTTAATAGCCTAAAAGTATGATGAGGATGAAGTCTGTCCTGTTTCTTACAGGACAAATTCTACTTGATAAGAGCTGATGCTCTTTAAAAGTGAATTTAGAAAAGAGTGAATTTAGTTTGGCTGATTAGCCAGAAAGCCTCCTCATTTATGTGCTTAATTTACCTACCTTTTCTCTCTTTACAGCATCACACAGTGATCTATGAAGTTAATCACACCAGTTGATTTTAGAATTAACTTATAGAGTTGATCAGATTTAGATCGGATACTCATTTCACTTACATTTACAAGCAGGTATAAACATTGAAGAATTGGAGCACATGAAAGGACAATAGTCCACATGCAAATTTAATTGCCTACTGTCTATACTCAATTCAGTGTTGTCTCTGGCTGTAGATATAAGAAGTCAGTTTGCACCACCCGCGAACACCCCAACCCCCCCACCCCCTTACATGGCGGACAAAATGATAAACTGATAATAAGAATGAAGAGAGATGTTCCACAGTCTGACAGTCTCTTTCCTATAGAGAGTACTTAGATTATGACTGTACCAACTATAGGCTGATTAGCCGGAATCAAGGCTAACACATCAGTGCACTGGGTGCATTTCTCACAATGATTGTCATTGCACTGTAGTTTGTGTCTAGTGTTTAACAGTGTGTAAATTAAATCTTCTGACTTTTATAACCATTTTATCCATTTGTTTGAGAGTCATTTTCAGAGTGCTATCGTCTGTGTAACAACTATTAAATGTTACATCCAAATGTGACAAGGGTGGGAATAGCATCAGCAGCTGTCTAACCAACTATCTCTGTTAATTTGCGTTAATGTCTCAGTGTCTAAGCATGTCTGTGTTGTTTTTCTTCTCACACCAAAGGGTGTCTTGGCATCAGTCTGCCACAGAAGAGGGAGACCCTCTCTTCTCTTCCCCCGTCAATGCTGTCTATGTCTTTAGGTAAATTTAAAGTCTCCTCCCCTCTCCTTTCCTTGTGAGTTGTGCAATTACACAGCTACATAGTTGAGCACTTATTCAGAAAGTTTGAACCAATGATTTTAGAGGTAGTCCTGGGTGGTAAACCAAGTGAACCCCCTGCTCTGTAGGGACCATTTCATGTTATGGATGTCTCGTGTGTTCAAATGAATTGTGTGCTAAAGGAATGTCAGAGCAGAGGCAGGGAGGGCAGCTGAAACACTGAGCATCGACTGAAGTGAAGCCAGTACACACAAGTGTGACATTCTTCCTATATCTCTCTCTGTGTCTCTATCTGCCTATTTACGTCTCATAGTCTATATCTCTCTGTCGGTTCTTCTCTTTCTCTCCTTCTTTCTCGCTCACACTCACAGGCACAACTTGACGTAACTATGACTGCAGTTGCCATAACATTTGTCTCCCATGAGTCCCCTAACAGCCAAGCACAAGGAGAAAACAGCAGTGATCCAACTGTTGGCATCAGCAGCAGCTATGCATTGTGGGTGTAATACGTCTGGGGAGAGATTGTTGGCCCACCCAAGCTCCTCAGCTGGCATTGATGAACACACACACACACACACACACACACACACACACACACACACACACTTACAAACGCACGCACACTTGCACACATGCACATGCACACATGCACACGCTTGATGTTACTCATAGAGAGGTTATTCATTTTGCATCATTTTAAAAGGCAGTGGAGAGTTTGAGGCCCCGGGGCCACATTTGATTGAAGAGCAGAGACATTTTGCTCCTTTCCCCCACGATAGCTGGACGAGCTCTGGCATCAGAAAATGAGTTTCAAAGCCTGTCTTGTTCTTCAATACAAACCTGCAAAAGTGTTTCATATTTTTTTCAAAATAACTTAATTCCAATGACACAAGACAACTTTTCTGAAAATATATATTTTCTGAAAAGTTACAGGCATATATATTGCCTCATTTGTTCTATTTTTTTTATTTTTTTTATCAGTGTGGTAAATAATGGTGCATTACGTGAAAGAATGTTGATGATTTAAGATGTTTATTCGCCAGTTATCGTTAATGGATAATTGTTATATATTGATGATAATTGATCAGTAAAACCCTAAATGTAAGAACTAACACATAGCAACACTATGTTTTCCCTAATAAGAGCGTTGCAATATGAAATACGTCTTTAACAAGTAGAGAAAATTTTGCATCACAAGGACGTATTTTGCTCAGATGTTTTCCCTTCAAGAGAACATTTTGACCCAAGAGAGGATGTCTGACCATGAAAAAGAATATGTTGTTCTCAGAAAATATGTGTTGCCTTAGATCTCGGCTTGTCAAACCTTGGGCGAGTACTGAAAACAATGCCACAGATATTATACTTTGTGTTTACATTTCTTTAAAGACAAAATATATCACCCTGTGCCACGGCACTGTTCACTAGATATGAACAGACGACCTAGCATAGCATTATGCTTAGAAATAACCACTGGTCCCATGTGGTCATTTCCTCTTTTTCGTCATTTGAATCAGTGTTCTGGCATCTTTTGATGTGAATACCACTAAATTTTACTGCAGAGTCTCTTACAATTATTTATCCTTTGACCCAAATGTGAAGTTTAGTTTTATTTCCTGGGGCCATGTGAAAAAGAACTGCCAATGTTGTCATGGGGACCCATTCAGTTTGTCCCTTCACAACCTCAGTGAAGTGTCCAAACCCATATGTTGAGCATTCAGAGGGGACATTTTAAAATGTAAAGAGGTGAGGCAACAACTGTATATACAGTGATTGTTGTATAAAAATATCTGGACAAGTCACTGAATGGAGTGAAATGAATGTGGTCGGACTGTGCACTGTACCACAAGAACTTTGTCTCTCCTCCATCATTACTACTGGTAGTCTGGCATCTGTCTACAGTGCAGGAAGGGGCACTTATATTCATTACACCATGCTATATTTCATAACACTGTAGTCAGTTACTCTCTATTGAATAATTTGAATTGGTATTCTGGCATCAGTTTTGAATGGGTGTGCTGTATTATTAGTGCTGTGCAAACCAACTCATGACCTATCCATCATCGGGCTGGTGGCCTGGACTCTGTTCTTCCGTGAATGTGACACACGAGCAACATTTTTGTGCACACTGTACTCACAAGTCGGAAGTGCACCATGAAGTTGAGTACTGTACTGTTCTGGCTGTAGCTGCACTCTGTGTTTTGGTTGGTACCATATTTGTCTCAGCTCTGTCAGCAGGTAGGTGGTCTGGAGTCTGTCTTACTGTATTTTGACAGGAACTTGAAAAATTGCACTAGGCTAGCGTTTTTTAAAAATTTTTTTACTGTTCTTTTTGTCTTTTTTTATTGTAGTAGCTGTGAGTACACAGAGCTCAAAGGTATTTTGCTGGGGATGACATTTTTGTAAATAACAATTTACATCCTGCTGTTGTGTGACCCATCACTCTGAATGAGTGGGATGCAAATAAGTAAGTATTTTGTGATTTAAGCAGTGAAGATAGAGTTTATGCAGCCTTTGATGTGCAGTGGCTGTGGTTTCTGGTGTACTGTTTTTAATTATGAATTTAATTACAAAATATATGAAGTGATTTCCATATCATTTGTGTTTCCATGGTGTCTCTCTGCGCAGTGAGGAGAGTGAGGAACCTGAACTCAACAGCCATGACTCTGCAGTTGTCAAGACCATGATCAAAGGACCTGCTGCAACCCAGGGTAAACACTGTGTGTGTGTGTGTGTGTGTGTGTGTGTAGTTGTGTGTTTTCTCCTGTCCCCTTGTGATAGCAGCACATCCTAAAGGGTTTTTCATGCATTTTCACATTGATATTCACAATGAGCACTGGTTATGATAATTGCCAGGTGCCATTTTTCTACATTTTTATAAAACCTTGGACCAAGACACAACAAGCAGGTCTCCAACTTACTTCCTGAAATAGCATATCTGCCATTGTGAGTACATATTAAAGAATATAGTATATGTACATAATACATGGGTTTCAGTGACTAAAATACATTTTTTATTCATCATGAAATCGGTGGAATAGTAAATTAAATTTACTGCCAAATCCAACAAAAATATATCTGTATGGCTATGTGTCAGTTGTTTTTACTGTAGGCAGTTTGTGGTATTTTTTCACTAAATTAACTACTGGAGTACAATCAGACTAAGGTGCCTGAGCTGTTTTCTTAGCATAAGTCACGGGGAATGCATGCATATCCAAAATGTGACTCCCCCCTAAATAGATTCCTAAAAATAAACTGCTTTAGGAATTGAGCTAAATCTTCTTTTAAGCATGTTTTTGATTGATTAATATATTCCCTCCTACAGTTAAAAAGTGTTATTTCTTCTCATACAAAAAATGTTTGGTTCCCAGTCCTGGCACACTGTGAAACTGATTTACTGCTGTTGGATTGAATGTTGTTGCAGCCAGTTAGCAAGGGGGAAAGAGGCTTATTTTCCATGGTTGAGGCGTGACATATGTTGTGAAATAGGTCATTGCAGACTTTCTTTTTCTTTTCTCGTCTTTTTCCTCTGTGGAAGCACATTAAGCAGGCGAGCAGGCCCCGCTCTGCCTGTGGCGCCTTGCTCAGTCACATGTGCAGCAGTTCTACTCTGTCAGAAAGATAATATTGACTGAAGGGACCTGTCGGTAGTTATGAATAAAGTTTTAAAGGCAAGCCACAGAGCTGCAGTATAATGCCTGTGCTCCATCTGCAGTCAGCCCTTAGAATCTGAGGCTGCCAGTTCTGTGCATTATTCTGTTTATCACGTACATAATTGAAATGAATAAATTCTGTATATGTGTTTTTTTGCAAGCAGGTTTTCTACTCTTTAAATATAACTAGCCTAAGTTACAGCGTCCACTACATCCAGTCTCTGAGCACAAGGCAGGTCCTCTTCTCCGTGTCACTCCCTGATGTAACTGCTGCTCGACAGAATCATAAAATGTAGTCACTTACCAGGGGACCCAGGATCGTGAAAATATACTGCTAGCCGTATGGTGCCACAGCAGCATGTAAGCCACTGACCCATTTTGAATCTTAAGCAGCAGTTGAAGAAACCAGGCCTTCAGCTTCTGGCTTGTTGCTAATGCCTATTGTAAAACAATATCTTCACTGTTGAAAGTTGAAAACACAGACACGCACTCATGCATCTGCATCCTTCACTTACCTGCTCCCCTCATTCCTACAACAACTTCATCTTCAGCATGAAGCCTTGCGCATGCTGGCTTGATTAATGGCAGCTTCACTAATAGGTTGAAACATCAAACTGTGTAAAATCAACATAAAACAAGTCTTTTCCTTAAATGTAACAAATTACTGCCACTTTTTTGCGGTAAATTTTGATCGAGCAATATTACAGTAAGAAAGCATTCATATCTATGGCATCTTAAAGCTGTGTTTAACCTCCCTCTTGGACCGTCAAACATACGTTTCAACTTAGGCCCTCAATTTTTTTATGATGAGGGTTTAAATGAATACCCTACTGGCTTCAGCGTTAAATGTAAACCCAGTCCCGCTCCTTGCCCAAACAGACCCACTTAAACATGACATGTAATGGTAAAGCCGAGCTCCAAAAGTAGCCGGTCCCACACCATGCACACACGTACAAAAACACATCTCCATCCACAGAGTGGAGATCAAAGGCCAAACTACATGTTTAGCCAGGTGCCTGGGTTTTAGCTGAGGGAATGTCTTGGTGGTCTATGTGTGTGTGGTTGCATGTGTTTGGTCATGTGTATGCATGCACATTCACCAGAGGAATGTGTTGAAGGTCGAGTGGAATATTCTGTGTATTGCTGAAGATTGATGTGGTGAATCCACGGTTGTGACAACGGTAGTCAGCCAGCTGCATGCACCGCCACGACACCTGCTGGGTGTATAGACAAAGAGGGTAGAGGTCAAATAACTTACACACCTGGGAAGAAAACACAGGCGTGCACATCTTTTGTGATGCCGTAAGTGCTCACTATTCTGAGTTTCCATCTATTCATCTTTCCTTTTACCTTTATCTCTGCATTTCTGGTTTATTTCTCTCCTGCCTCCTACAGGTCACCGTCCACAGATTGGTTTGATCACTCCGTCTTTTGGTATGAAGGGCAACGGCAGTGCCAGTGTCCCAAGGGGTCCGGTCCCAGCCCGACCTGTACCTCAGCCCCACCCTAAAGATGAGGACACCTTGGTCCAAATGGCAGAACACATCCCTGCAGGGACCCGTACGCCCATGTGTGCCCACTGCAACATGGTCATCAGGTGGGATAAAACTGATCTGTAATATATTTAATTAATTTTTTAAAAACCTTTTTAATCATGAAACTTAACAGACAACTGTATAGAATAAGCATGGATCCATGCCATCAGGAATGAAAGAGGCTGTCATGACCATTTGTTTAAATTGTGAAAGAAAGCAGTGCACATGTATGGTGTTTAGTTCCATCATATGCCCATACACTCTCTGCACAAGGATAAAAAAAGAGACGATGTCTTCAACTTGACTGCACAGATATTAACTTGTACTCAAGCAAATTAAGAACGGGAAAGGAAAATATTTCCACTCCTTAATTATTTAGTGACCCAGTTAGGCACTTAAAATAATTAACTTAAAACCATCATGAGTAAATAATCTGTGTATGAAACTATAGACCTACAACGATCTGACTGACTGACTGTAGTGTAGATTAGGATAAAGGGAATTAAGTTGCACATGCAGTAGCTCAAACTGTCAAATGATGCTGCGCACAGAGCGCTGAATGCACACACACACACACACACACACACACACACACACACACACACACACACACGATAGGATGATACCACATCTTGAGTTACTCTCTCAGTCGCCTATTGTGCTGGTAAAATTTGATGTTGTCATATGTATTATATATGGAGTTCTATCTGATGAATAGAACATGATTGACAAAATGACACTAAAGGTATCTGAAGATTGTGTGAACAGGAGGAGGCGTCATGATTTTTTAACTGCACAAAGTCTACATAACATAATACAAAATAAGTGGTAACTGACTGCCCTATCCCCAGCATTATCTCCCAACTTGTGTCACCTTACATTACATATCACCTAAGGATAGGATTTCTCACATGCTAATGACTGCCAAGCAATCTATCAGGGTCACTATCAGAGTAAGCTCAGATAAGCACAGCTATTGTATGGAGTAAATTAGTCTCTGTTGTTTTCCCACTTCACCTAATCATCGAAGTGGACATGGCCAGGGTGCTGTCTGAGTAGAAGCAGAGGATGATGGTCACACGAGACCTTTAGTACTGACACAACACATGGGATTTCTAAAATGTCCTCCTAGTTTCTCAAGCTCTTTTCAGCGACCTGAATGGAATACTAAAATGATTCAGTGAGTAGTTGACAGAAGTCTAATCTAACAATAATTTTGATAAACTCATTTTTTTTTTTTTTTTATGAAAGCCAAACACTGACTGGCTCCAACCATCAAATACAACCATTACCACATATTGTTCATAGACTTGACTTAATTGTCAAAAACTCTAAACATTATGATTCAGCATATCAGGATGAACGAGGTAAATCATAACTAAATCACGATAGTCAAACAGTAACTTTCTGAGAGGAGAAAGAAAGGAGAAACAGGAAGAACTTAGATTTACATGCTGTGTTGCCAAGAGACAGTTTGTGGAAGTTAGACAAAGTTGAGTTACTCACATTGTAATTAATTCATTTATTCATTTGTGGGTTGCCTATTTGTAGTGCTGTCTGTAGGCATGGTAATGAAAACAAAGCACAGTGACTAGATGACCTATCAGCACTACCTTAGAGGGTACAGGGTACTTTGCTTCTATATTTTGTGTTTATGATGAGATGTCTTTCTTAAAATAACTTCATGATGATACAAGTAATTCATATAGTTTGCCTGTTTCTCTTATATGTGGGTTCATTTTTACAAGACAGTTATTTTTGCAACTGCTGGTAAAATCAAAAGTTGATTTCCACTCTTCCTTTTGTCTCTGCTTGTCTTTTTTTTTTTTCAGAGGGCCCTTTTTAGTAGCAATGGGTAAATCATGGCATAAGGAGGAATTTAACTGTGCCCACTGCCGCACATCCCTGGCTGATGTGGGCTTTGTGGAAGAACAGGGATTTGTCTACTGTGAACACTGCTATGAGGAGTTCTTCGCTCCGACGTGCAGCCGCTGCCAGGCTAAGATATTGGGGGTGAGTTGGCGTGAAGTGAAATGTAGCAGTGTAGAAGTGACGGCACATCAAATTATCATCTGGCTGCTCTCGCCTGTGCTGTGATGGTCAATCAACAGAATGCACTATGATTAACAGATAAGATTCATAAACTAAAAAAGCTAAATATTATGAAGATGACAACTAAACTTAGATTATAGTGCAGGGAAAGAGAATATGGATGAAAGACTCAATGTTTGCCATTCGTCTGAAGATTTTACATTCGTACCATTCACTTACTGTACAGCTGCCCCTGACATTGCGCGTGTCTGTTGTTTTCAAACTCCACCACCTGTTGTTTGGAGACTAACAGCCATAGTCCTCCTCCTCTGTCGTTCAGCGCAAACCTGTCACACATATCAACTTCTGTCTTTATTTGTGTTACATTCTTCTGTTTCTTCCTCCCTTTTCTATAATATCTCACTCAATTTTGTGCTTACAGCAACTAGATTAACAATATGTCAGTGTAATTCTTAGTCTTCACTTTTCTACTGCAGACCAGCTGTGTGCTGAGGGGTTGGAGGTGGACATTCGGATGCATAAAGACGTTTAGTCATAGTTTGGACATGATTATATGAAATAAATCCAAAATGTAGATACGTCACTTTCGATATTGAAATCTATAGAAAAGTGACTTGGTGTTGGTGATTAAAAACATCACACTCTCCTCAGTGGGAGTTACAGTAGAAGTTGAACCAACATTTAAACTGATGTGTGTGCATTAAGGCTACATTACTATGGAGTCTGTTTCTCTTCATACCTTATTTTGTACCTCATTTCTTGTCCAGTAGCTGTCTGCCTTAACCCAAACATTATCTATCAACATACATAACTTAAGCAGCAGCACTATGGATACGCTTTATAATTAATGTAATTGTTTACATCTTTAGTAAAGGGCTATTCTTAACAATTTGAGACCACATAGTAAAGGGGTGTAAAATGTACCAATGGTGCCAGATTCATCATAGGGTTACTTTGTTATTTTTGCCACAGTGTAGGTCCAAGTCCAAAGATACAGAAAAGAATACATAGAGGACCAATGCAACAAAGCTTAAGGTTTATGAAATTTCAATAGTGAGCACCAATGAAACTCAGGAATGCAGTAAATGTTCAGGTGTTAGGAGAATAAGGCTTAGAGGCCTAGAGGCTGCAGGTGTAGCTTGAACCCAGAGTGTCAGGAAGCTGAGATCTCTGCTCTTGTAGCAGCTCTGACATTCATCCCTCACGTGTTCTAACCTCTTTAGCCTCAATCCCTTTCAACCCTCTATTTCTCACACATCTTCAACCAGCTTACGGCTTCTTATTAACCTGTTTTCTCACTCCCTCTCTCCTAATCCTTCATTTTACTCTGACCCACCAACTTTCCATTGATCCCTTGTCCTGTCTTGTTCTCACAGTTTAAGGGTGGGAAAGAAAGCAGTGTGTCTATTTTAAGCTGGGTCATGTGGCCCCACAAAGTAAAAAAGTAATATTTAAGTCTGACATGAGAAAAGGTCAGACTGTATGAAAGGCTATGCATTTCGGACACATGTTAAACGCATACATTTATCTGTAGGTATTGATAATGGCAGTAGATATATTACATGTACAACCATGTTACAAATGATGACCTAATTAGCAAAGTAAGCATCCCTCCAATAATCACTGTATCCTCTCCACTTTCTGGTAATGTGGATCTCATTTTCGGACACACGCACACACACATGCACACAGAGTACCTCTAACAAACTGTATGATGCTTCCAAATAACCACATTGTTTGCATTCGCACCCAGGAGGTGATAAATGCCCTCAAACAGACGTGGCATGTGTACTGCTTTCTGTGCGCTTCCTGTCAGCAGCCAATCAGAAACAACACCTTCCACCTGGAGGATGGAGAACCATACTGTGAGCGAGGTGAGTGATAATGACTCTCAACAATGTGTGAATTAGGCTGATGAGTGCCGCCTCGGACTAAAAAACAAAACACCTAGCAATCTGCGGATGGAAAGACACAAGTAGCCTTCTGTTATGAATTGACCTCTGTAGGTTTGATTGTCTCTTGCTATTATGGTTTATTTGATGTATGCCATCATCTCCTTGTCTCTCAAAAGACTTCTACAGTTTGTTTGGGACTGGCTGTCATGGCTGTGAGTTCCCCATTGAGGCTGGAGATAAGTTCCTGGAGGCCCTGGGTTACACCTGGCATGACACCTGCTTTGTTTGTGCTGTAAGTGTCACAGTAAATTCAGACCATCACAGGGCTAGCACGTACAACATGACATAACATATGTCATCAATAAAAGTTTTCTTCGTATTCTTTTTTTGAATGTATTGCTAAAGTGTCTATTTTGTGTGTGTTTGGCTTTTCACAGGTGTGCTGTACTGCGCTGGAAGGCCAGACCTTCTTCTCCAAGAAAGACAAACCTCTTTGCAAGAAACATGCTCACACACTGAAAATATGATTCCTAGACTGTTCTCACACTTTTTTGGCCATACATCTTTTTTTGGTAGGTTAAGAAGACCTCTTACTGTAATGATAGTTAGTCCATGCAACAATACAACTCGAGCGATAGTCATTCATGCATGGTGGTGGCTCCTCCAGGTGAGCTAATTTAGTCGTATTCAGGCACCCAAACCCATTATAAAGAAAACATCATTTGATTTTACCTTGTGTTCCCTACCAGAAGCAGCAATAAGGCTAGCAGTTAACAACTGTTCTTAGTATTGACTGATTTTCAATGGAAAATACTGTATTTGGAGCCAATCAGTTTGAACTGATTTTCATCTGCATTTTATGTGCTCATGGATCCAAAGTAGAACAGTTTTATTGTCAAATGGTGCAGTGTATGTATACTACCACTACAAATCACCAAAGTCAGTAATTTAATGTTACATAAGATTCTGTCGTAGTCTTTATTTTCTTAATCCAGAGTTTAATCTTGAGTTTCTTAGAAGCGTGACAGCGATTAGATGTATTCTACCCTGTTAAATTATACATCAGAAACTACAGTGCCAGAAATGTTGGAAAATATATATTCATACTCATACTATATGAAAACAATTTTCTAAGCAGGAGTTTATATTTGTTAGTGTTAATGTTTGTTTAGCTGTATCAAATTTCAAATTCTAACCAGCAGCTATTAAGAGTTTAAAAGAATGTTAGCCATTCACTTTCCTGTGTTCCATGAACAGCATTTCAAATCAGAACCTCCATCAAAAGTTTTTAATTGGGCTGAATGTCTGAGATGATTATCAAAGCTGTTGCATTTAATAAATCCTTATGATTATTTGATCTTTTTCTGTATTTTATAAATTAATTCTATGTGTTTTATTTTCCATGTGTTGTGTGAAACTGGTAACACTGGCAAAAATATTACTTGTTTCAAAACAGAAGGTCACATTTAGTAATATGTATTTGGAGCAGTAAGGCACTTGAGAAAGAGAGACAAAGAGAAAGAGGAGTGGTCTTGATTTTATGGAGGAAACAATTGGTCTTAAGTATAAAATAAAATAAATATATATACAGTACGTACAAAATGAGTGAATAAATGTATAACAAAATATAAAGCCCATAGTTGTATATTCATGTATTTCTCCTTGCTATTTGCAGAAAAAGGCAGAAATACATTTTCTGTACTGAGTGCCATATAGTTTCATGAATCATATTAATATTTTTTGTTTTACTTCATGTTATTTTATGTATTAATTATGTATTTTCACTCATTGCATTAATTTCTGGTTGATTCAGTCCTCTATATGCTTCATAAACATAAGAAGCGGTTTCTGGCCTGCAGGAAAATAAGGAGTGAAACACAGATACTATAATCCTTGTGTAGTAAACCCTGTTTATTTTATTTTGTTTATAGAGGGGAGAAATGTCTGATCAGACAATATATATTTAACTGTTTGAGTAACTGGGTCTTTGCTTTTCAGGGACTGGTGCAGGGAATGGATCCAGGTAGTTTCGTCTGTGTTTTTAGTGTCTCACTTGACTGTCACTTGACTTAACTGTCCCAACATGTCCATTTGACAATTATTTACTTTTCATTATGGCTGAGGGGCAAATATGGTCTGTTTTGTTTTTCAAAGAGCAGAGCAAATGGCAACAAAACTCTGTCTAAATCTAATCTAATCTAAATTTCACATAATTATGAAAAAAATCTTTGTTTTTACTGAATGGGACAAAATGGGGTTAGTACGATGTACTGTGTTAACTAAAAGTGGTTAAAAAGGAAAGAAAGAATCATCTACAAAAGCACAGTTGGAACTGTTCAAATTGATCTGAGTTGTTTAATAAATTATGTACTTTTAAACCCCCAACATAAATATCCTGTGTTCTTCATGTTCGTGGTGGTATAGAGGAGTCTGACATAAGCAGTGTGAAATGCAGATTTCAACACATGTCTCCACTATGCTGAGAAAGGTCAGAGGAGACACAAATAGAGAGAAACAGAGATGTGAAGTGGATACTATTGAGACAGGAGAAGGACAGAATGAAGATGTGAGTGATGCCATGGTCATCCATGCTTTAGACAAAGAGAATGGGATTATTACCTCCGCCAAGGAAGTTATGTTTTGTTTTTTTTTGTTCATTTGTCAGCAGGATTACCAAAAAATTACTGAATCAATATGCACCAAACCTGGTGGAGAGATGGGACATGAGCCGAGGAAGAACCCATTAAAATTTGGTATTGATTTGATAAAAGGGGAAGATCTAAGAATTTTTTTTATCACTTTCCTTAAAATTGCGAGGTTGTGCATTTTTGGATTCTTTCATCAGTTTCTCAGGAAATAATGTATGGATTTTGATGTAAAAATCAGACATATTTGACTGTCTATCAGATCCAGATAATAGTCCAGATCTGGTGGACGAAAATGTTGCATTACACACAGAGTTGTGTTGTAAATAATAACTGACAGCGCATATGGCAACAGCAGCATTTAGGACTGCTTACATCATTTAATTCAACATGCAACTAATAAAATCACAGAATGACAATAGTGGTTGCGACAGTATTGTATAATGCTGATATTATCATTTCACACAACAGGTAATAAAACCATACGGCTTTTTGGGTAAGGATTAAAGACAACAAAAAAAAAGCTTGAGAACAAAGACATGTAGGACTGTTGGCGGAGGTATGCACAATATACTGACTGCCATTCTAGTCACTCACATAATTCTATTGAGTCCAATCATCAAACCAAATACTCACACAGACCCACCCACCACACACATCAACATCGACCCCTAAGAAAGAAGAATTGGGGGAGTTGTGCAGTTTTGAAAATAAAGCAGAAGAGGTAGCCTAATCACATGAAACCTTTTGGTTGACCTATGAGTAGTATGCTTTAGTTGTTTTGAGCTGGAGGTGTGCCATTACATCCAACCAGTGTTTATGAGATGGTGGTAGATTCTTTTTTCATTTGAGGACAATCAGTGGTTGAGGAAGCGGTGTAGACAGAGAGAATGTGATATCTGTGTTTGAGGGGCATTTGGATGGAAAAGGCTTGGTCAGGCTGCAGCATCCATGTTTGATGTTCTACATTTAAAATGATGATTGTTTACATATCTGATTCAGAATTGGCAACGCTAAAAGCTTACTTGATACTTGATTTGAATTATCCTCACCATTCATTTGATCCTTATTTCACATAACAATAGTATACTTTCCCATTAATTTAGAGTAAAATATGCAAATAATTCTGTCTGTCATCACATACAAAAAATGTGATTGTTGTTAACTCAATGGATGCGCCATTGAGATATGTAATTCATAATATTCTAATAAAAATAATTGTTAAAGAAACTATAACCCTTCCATTATAACCAGCAGACACAGCCCACTTCCCGTCCATTGTTGTGTTGTTTTTTTTGACAGTCCAGCGAGGCATTTTTAGTTGTTTATTATTTATTAGACACCAAGTAGATGAGTGGCTTGTGGAAGCCATTCAGAGCAGCAGTAAAGTCACTTCTTCCCTGCTAATGCGCTGCTAGTCTGTGGCATTAATCACCCCTCATACAGCTGAGTGAAGTTTAGAGGAGCAGAGAGGTTTTCATGTGTGTGACCCTGTGCTTGTGTGCGCGCGAGCAAGTAGAGAGAGAGGGAGAGAGAGAGAGGGAGAGAGAGAGAGGGAGAGAGAGAGAGGGAGAGAGAGGGAGAGAGAGAGAGAGAGAGAGAGAGGCTGCAACTCTGGTGTGGAGGAAACAGACCGACTCGCATCTGCAGGCTACCCGGAGTAACGAGTGCCTAAAACTTTTCCTGTTCACCGAAACAAGAAAACAAGAAAGTATCCTGAGGTGAGTAAACTTGGAGTGAAGGCAGGTGAAACTGTCGAACAAGTTTTTGAGTAGCATTACGTTTTTAATTGTCTGTTTTTTAATCGCAACGGTTTGCGATCACCTCGGAAAAGTTTGACAGGCGTTGCTCTTTTTGTTTGTTGGGTTGTTGACAATCAGCTGCACGTGCGTCGACGTTACTGCACAAGTAACCGTTGAACTAAGGAAGAAAAGTTTATGTGAGAAGAGTTTAAAAAGTTTGCGCAGCATCTTGTTTGCCTTTAGGTGTACTGTTTCCAAGAAAGAAAAATGCAGCAATTACTACACATAGGCCTTTTAGTTGCTCCCAATTAAATAGACTGAGTAGGATCACATAATTTGTCGTTATATGTTCAATTCTGTGTAAATGTATTCAAATTTAAAGACATGGTAAAACGTGTTACTGTTATATGCATTTAGAACATTGTCCCAAAAATGAGCTAGCATCACTCTTAATATGAGAGTGGTAGTAAGATAGGGGCATGATCTAATTGTCTAATGATTGAGAGAGTGCTTGCATGTGTGTAAGGTATATGAAAAGAACAACCTTGCCCATATTTATCTGTATAATAGAAATGGTAATGATAATACAAGAAATGCAATACAAGATATTTTCAGAAAGATACTTGGACAAAATTGCAGGAGAAACTGTAGATGCAAACTAAAACTAGTGATACCAAGTTTTTAAAATGACATACCTAATGAATGTAATATTTTTTTTTCAATCTCACCTGTTTTTGTAGATATTGCACATAATGGGACATCTTCATAATAACAATTGGATGTTTTCTTAAATTATAGACTTGAGAGCACACAAATATCATTAAGACAAACCTTAAGTCTAACTTTGAACTTTTGCATTAGTTTTTCTAGGGAAGTTTTTCATAGCTGTTGTAAGTTGTAAACCCTTTCTGTCAGATTTTTTCTGTTTGGGGGAATGGGTCTACATATTGTAGTAGCAATGACCCACCGTGAGCCCCCTTCTTCAAGGGCTCAGAAAGTAGGAAAAAAATTTAAAATGAGCCTCAATACAGCCTCCAGCACTGAATAACCTACAGCTCAGTATTCCCCATACACCCCACTTATACTCACACAGTCATGCACACAGTATTCAACTCTCCCTCCGAGTCTAGTAACCAGGTCCAGGTGTTTGTCAGTGTGCGTTATGACAAGAGTATATCTGTGCGTGTGTGTATGCGTGCACTTGAGCAAGCATGTGTGAATGTATATCCAGATGGCATAATACTGGGGCTCCAAATCTTACCTCACCTCATCTTAGGGGTCTGGGGGCAGTAACACCAGGGGACCATGCATTAAAACACTCAGCAAATATGAATGAGAGAAGCAGAGGTCCAGATGTATGTGTGTATTATTGTGTGTGTGTGTGTGTGTGTGTGTGTGTGTGTACTGTTTTTCTTGTCTGTCAATCTAGTAAGTGTATGCAGTTGTTGGAGCTTCACTGGGAACAGCAGTCTTATTTATTTAGGTCAGGAACACATCACGCAAATCTGAGAAACAGCCACATTCTCAATTGGCTGTGTAATTGAGTTTCACATAGCAGCTGTAAACAGAATGTTTCCCCCCTTTTCTTTTTTTTCTTTGTGTATAGGTGTGTGATAGAGATCAGCTGAGACACTTAACAGTTTCATATGCCTCGTGATGTGAGACAAGGTGTCTGATACTGACTGCTGGAAATACAGATCACATTGCTGGAGCTTAATCTACACGCCAAGAATAGCAAATTTGCCAAAAACAAACTCAGTTTCTGTTTGTCTGGAGAAAAGATGAGTGGAACACAAAGAGGAAAAGACTGGTAGAGAATATATAGCCAAGTGTGACCTAATAGAGCAATATTCCTGTGTCTGACATGTCATTTAAAGTCAGATTGATTTAAGTTCAGTAAGGTGAAGATCAGAATGAGGAAAAAATAATTAATAGAAATCTATAGATGTACTGTATCTCCCTTTATGGATACCTCAGTCTATACCTTAAACATATACAGTTTTTTAAAATTTACAGGTGTCAGAAAGAGTCAAAGTTAGCAGAGGAAACTAAACAGGATGTAACATCCGGTTTTGCTGAAAAAAATTATAAAAGAGAACAAAGACCAAAAAGAGGAAGCATTCAGAATATTTTGTGTTAAGTGTTTCATTCTTAACCTTTTCCATCTGATACCACGATGGCTGCATACCAGATCCCAATGCCTCTCATGCTTCTCCACTTAAAGGCGGGAGCTTTACTTAGAAAAATGTAAATGTCTTAAGCACCTGAATCACTTCATTTTTCATAACTATACTGTAAGTGAGACAGCAGGGCAAAGGTTTCAATGAGCGTAACAACAATTGTTCATGTGAATCCAAGGACAGTTTAACAGTGTTAAGCTTCTCTAATGTCCAGTTTCCTCAACTTAGAGATTGAGTTGATAACAATCAAAAAGAGATAAGAGCCTTGAGCCCGAGGCCGCCTTCTCAAAGATCCGTCTCTCTTATTCTTAATTACAGTGTCAATGTGATTTAGAGAAATGTCCCAGTATTTATCTTAGCCTGAATTCTGACAGAGATATTCTGATAGTTTTAGCAGGGTTTTCATGTGCCTTGAATGTTCCTCAAAGCTCATAGATTTGAGATGATAAACAGCCTTAGAGGTTTTTCATAATGAAAACTGACTGTGGCACATTTATCATCATACCTCAAATCCCTGGCTCTGTCCTCCCTGAAGAAATTCAGCAACAAAGAAACACAGGAAGGAGCTTTTGCTTGCCTTAATTATGTATGTTTGCAGGTTTGAGGTTCACCCAGACTGCTCTAATCTCCTGCAGCTCTTCACCTAATGAGTTCCCTTTTGTAAAAATTACCCAGCTACAAAAAAGTGGCTTAATGTCCAAAGTGTTGATTTAGACCACTTTCTCGCCTCAATTAAAACCTAACAAATCTTTGCTAAGCTATGGCCAATTATATTCCCCTAAGACTCCCTGCTGTTACTTCACAATAAA